TAATCTCATTCTTCTGTAAAAGACATTTTATGATTATTAATTCTTATTATTTATCTCAATGCACTTCCTTTAGCCTAATCTTTTATAACTTATCCATATGTAGTAACTGGATTTTATACCAGTTAAAGTAATGACATAATGTAAGATCCAATATACATTTTATCAAGAAATATAAGAATTTTAAAGAATTTCTCGTAACTATTTTAAAATCGCGTTCAGAGTTTTGCATGACTTAAAATACTTAATTTTCAAATAACAAATTATTCAAAAAATGATTCAAATGATATACAAAACATGATAGGGATATATTTATTGATGTGAGGGAAAATTATCCCTTTCGGATCTTACATCATTCATCTGAATTTCTCATCTTCGCATGCTTTGAGATGAGATTCAGCAACGAATCGATCGAATCGTTAAAAATACGTGTATGTGTGGAATTTTCGGGTAGATAACCGATTTAGTAATTTTCAGTTATTTATTTTTAAATTAAAGGTTTGTTGATTACATTAAAAAGTTAATATGAAGAAATTTAATCTTGTTTCGTAATATTTGAGACTCTTAAAATTAATTATAGTTGTTGACATGAAGATTTTTTAATTATGATTTATTTGTAGTCGAATATTGTTATTTTTAATTTTGAATAAACGCGAATAGAAAATAAACGCGAAATCTATTCGTATGTTAATAGAGTTATTATTATTGTTATTGTTATTGATAATTGTTCAGATTAATATTTAGTCAATTTTATTAATATGATGGCCCCTTCGCGACGCGTTCGTGTTTCGCGCAACGTACAAAAGCGTAAAATCTTACGCTTATTGCCGGCGATGTTAGTCGGCAACAGTCGGCAGCAAAAAGGAGTATTTCTCCTTGTTGTCAATTTCTGGCATATGAAGCCAGAGTATTGACCAGAAGCAACGAAAGGTGAGATCAATCTGGCCAGAAGAAAGAAGAGGATCCATACGAGGTAGGTTGGTGTGTAATATCAATCTAAGTTTTTGAAAGGTAAACTGAATATTCGGGAGGGTAATTTGCTCGTAAATTGCGAGTTCTTATATTTTTTGAATGACTTAAAATACAAAAAACCATCAAACAACGGGGCTAATGAGAGTCAGCGCGGATAATCAAGCACAACTTTGGTAGATTAAAAAATCTACAAAACTTGCGCTTGATTATCCGCGCTGACTCTCATTAGCCTTATTTGTCAATTTTTTTGTATTTTAAAGATTGAAAGCCTGTTTTAATTATTATAAGCTGCGCTTAACAGAGAAAGTAGTTATGCAACTGTTGTAAAATTCTTCAATGTGATTGGTTTATACATTTAAATCCATAAGGAATCGGAAGCAAGAACCAATCTTATTAAAGAATTTTACATCAGTTGAAATGCTACTTTCTTTGAATGCAGCCATTAACGTATTAAATTCGCGGTATGTTTGCACATTTATGAGGTAATATAGGTAGGACTACGCGAGTAGAGATTCGCATAGATATGACCATAAATATGGATAAGTAGGTATTGCATAGGTGGGACGATAGATATGGATAGGAATAAACACATCATATGTACATACTTGATAATTGGAAAGGAGGGATTAAAAATTGAATAAAATTTTAAATTAATTTCAAGTTTTATTTAATTATTATCATCATCCCGTGTTCCAATTATCAAATATGAAGATAAACCAAATTAATTTCAAATTTTATTTAATTTTCAGCTACCCTGAAATTAAACTTTTCGTTAAAATTCTATACACGTACAAATTATGTAACGCGTTAATATTTTAATTAATTTTATTGTAAATAAATGTATGTATAATAGTATTAGGTATGTAATTTATGTAAACTATGTCCAGATAAATGCCATCATACTTATTTTTGTAATTTGCACAACGATTACTAATAAATTATACTGAAATATATACATTTACTTTGAAATATATATATTTATATATATACACACACATTGAATATCTATTCAATATAGATAGTATTTATCTTGTCGTAGTAAACCAAATTGTTGCGTAATTGATGTTAATTATACGAAATCGATGAAATATATAATAACAAAAATTGTTTATTGATTTAATAAATTTGGTTAATATTTATCTTTGAAACTATTTTAATTTTTTGGATTTTATTTTGAATATCAAAAAGTCATTAATAGTTTTAAATAATTTCTAATTAAAAAATTTGATGTTTAGAATAATCGTTAATTTTTCTTCGTATTTAATATACAAATTTATTAAATTTGTATTGCTTGCTTTTGACAGTCACATTTTTAACATTACGGAATTACAAGTATAGTTTAGTAATCAATTATTATATTCAAAGACCTCATCGCTGTCCCTCATGTCGGATGGATGTCTGTGATTGCATATTTGTACCGATGGAAAATCGAAATTATTTTCATCGTTGAGAGTTATTCCTCGTCGCTTTTCGTAAAGTCCATTCGCGAAGTCTAGTTTGGTGTTTCTTTGGAGATTCTTATACAGGATCGGAATTAATCGCGGGTTTTCTCGTCTGTAATTACTGGAAGTACCTAATAATTTTGTCAATGACAATTGCTATATATATTTTGAAGTTAAGTTGTGAAATTTATTCAGTGGTATATTTTAGCATACAATTTTCATTGCTTTCTTTGTTTTATTAAATGTTCTCTCACTAATAATGATAATGTTAGTTGTAATAGTATTATCTTAATAACAATAGGGGAATTTATTACTATGTGATTAATATGTATGTATTATACATATAATATGATTATCTGTTTAAGTCCAAATTATTAAGTAAATAAATTTAAATTTTATACAAATAATTTGCTCAATTTTCAATGATTCCTCTGACAAAAATATGGTTACGAATGTATATATTTAATTTTCTAACTGCTATTTTAAAATCACTTTTAGGTATTGGACATCCCGCCATTCCAGAATATTAATCACAATTATTAATTTATATGTATATATATATATATACATACTTTTCTATAATAAAATACGTGCAGATATTATGAGATTATATTTAACAAATTTTGATTTTTGTCGATGAATTTAATTATAAATGTGTGGTTACAAAAAATTTGAGATAAGTAGAATGGGTACCCTCATATTAGCGGGACAGTAATAAATCAAATTTTTGGAAAATGCAGAAATATAAGGAATTGTTAAATTTTATATAATAAATTTTTTAATATAATTATTTTTTTAAATCCCATTATTATCGGGTTCGCCTTATCTCGAACAGTTGGTACCCGAGAAACTTTGTACCCATACATATAAAAAATTATAATAACGCGCATGTATTTTATTATTATTAAATATATTCCTTCGTAACCACTATTCTATAAGGAAATCATTCCGTTTATTTTTAATAAGAAATGATTTTTAATATTATATTAAAAATTTGGTAAAAATGGTAATTGTAATTGACATGCTATCAAAATTATTACTATCTTAAGTAGTCTGAAAGATTCGAGATTCATACCCTCCTGTAACAAGATCACTGGTATTTGATGAATTGCTTAACTTTTCTTTGCAAATAGATCTTGTGAATTTGATGTAGAATCAGAATACATTAAGTTCGTTCTCCACTATGAAGATTGTTGTTCTTTGTATCGAATACTAACCAGTGTATCACAAGGCGGAAGAACTTTGATATAATGAAATTATTGAGATAGTTACCTTGAACGTGATGAAAGTGATGTTATAAATATATTAATGATTTTTTATTGCGATATTATTAAGTTTTATATTCGCAAATTAATAATTAATAGTAAATACGATTTAATTGTTGTTAGTATTTCATTCCGCTTTTCTCAATATTTCATTAAAGATTGGGTTAGAAATATTTGTGTTATCGTATGTATTTTCAACGTTTTCGTATAATTCCGCATTAATAAATTTTGTTAATTATGCTCCTATAATATAATTTTTATTATATTTCGAACAGCATTTATAATTGTACATTGTATTATAAACAATTATTATTGTACTGAATGTATAAAGGATTTCAATAAAAGATAGTATTAAAAATGTTATGCAATATGATTTCATCGAATTTCGCTAATCATAATGCAATATAATTATTTTATCGTATTTCGCTAATCATAATGTAATATAATTAGCGAGAAATACAATTAAATAATTAGACATAAAAATAAAACATAAATTTTAAATATACTTATCTGCAAAAACGGACTACTAAATTTATTAGTAGC